AAAATGGAGTATGGTAAAAAAAATTGAAATTAGCTGTTTAGCTATGTTGTTGGAAAGATTTTTCCTATTTTTATGAAAACTTCCTTTATGTAGAAGAAGGATGTTACCAGATGAACGTTGGTGCATCATCGGTAGTAGTTTCGCCAGATGGAAGTTTACGGGATGAATTCAATCGGCCAATACTTGGCATAGAAATCAAATGCCCATTTTCTGGAGAGGTTTTCGCCACCCCTGTTAATTACAGCTTTCCTTTGCATCATGTTCACCAAAACATGTGTGAAATGGCTTCCTTGAAAACAGATAAATTACGTTTTCTTTCTTTTCCCATGAAAACATCTGCTTCAGAAGCAACATTCGACGACACATTATGGGATATGATCTGTGAGTTACTGCGAGATACCTACGGTGAAAATTCCCACAAAATAGCACCCTCGGGTAAACAGCATGCGTCAGAGAATGAAAGATTACATACAATGTGGTGCATGTTTTGTTGCTGAAGTACCATCATTACAAGCTGTGAAGTGCACACATGAGAAAAATTCTAAAATTGCATTTGGTCACATGTTTCACCAAAGATCTGATGGCCTTTCCAAACGTCTAACACTTGACGATGTATTGGACGTCTTAAAGAAAAGTAAAACAGTAACTGAAACAGCATATCAACTTCAGAGACAGAAAGCGAGTGAAGTTTTTTTTTTTTGCTAAGTGACATGGATAGGATTGCTAAAAAGGAAATACAGCACTCGATACCGGTAGCGTATGCATCAAAGGGGTACAGCATGAAAACAGATGTAATGAGAAAAATGCTGGACTCAGTATTGCTCGAATGCAACAACAAAAGACATTATGTTCCAGTCAAGAGGAAAAAGTCCGAAAAACCAATGACTGTTCTTCAACTTCAAAAGGATGTTTTAAAAAAAAAAATCAAAGAATGAATCAAGATCCGACATTTTGAATAGAATTTTCCATCTGAATGCATTCGATTTCTGTATTGTATAGCAATTTATCAGAACTTTCAGTGGTGATGATTGAAAATAGATCTTCTGCAGGACAACGTGGGGAAAATGAAAGGACTAATTGTTGTTGGAAGCCTCCGAAACAAGGATCGGCCAATTGTGCTTTCATCGCACTTGTCCGTGATCATGGTGATACTGCAAGGTCTGAAATTGTTGATTATCAAAACAATGGGACTGATGGTATCTCCACTTCTCCAAATGGAAAAATGAAAATGACAACATTGCATATGACTCAGTCAAAGAAACCGGGTAACTATTGGTAGATTATACTTTGCTAATCTATGAAATCCTTGATTGTGAAAGGGATGAAAAAGATTCGTGTGAATTGCAAACATCTGTAGTGCCAATTTCTGAAAACAGGTCAAAACAGAGAGATGGAGAGAATTTCAGCGCGCGAGTTGCGAAAGGTGATTACGATAATGGGGAGAACCTTATCTAGAAAATTATCTTTTAAATGAAATCCATACACTTACCTCTTTTTTCAGTTCAAAGCAGAAGATTATTGTTCAATGTTTGTTGCTTTGCAAAACGATCCGTAGACAAAAACTCCCAAATTAACGGATGTTTAGTATTTTGAACAAAAGTTTTCCAGCGTCGATATATTGTCAACAGTTTTTAATAAACACGATGCACATATTTGTTTGAAAACAATGTCATCAAAGATGAACAATAAAATACAAATATTACTGCCATGGCCAAAATACAAAATGATCAGTATTCTTTGTCATGCAAGGTGCAGCTGGATATCAGGCCCCATGTAACATGTGTAATGATAAAGAAATCAACCAAAAACGACGGACACCAAGAACTGTTCCAACCCTTTCCAAATTATTTAAACAGACAATTAGAAAATTTCCAACACTGAAAAAAGTGAAAACAACAGGGAAGACTAGTAAATTTACTGTCCATACAATCACTACCTTAAAAGTAGTTTTACCAGGTATTGGGTAGATTTACTAGATAACATTAGTAAATCTAAGAATTTCTAAGTAACTTTCACTAGTTATCTAAGTATCTTTACGACCACTACTCCACGTTTCACTGTGTTAGCCTGTACACAGAGTGATTACTAATCACGAAGAACGCTTTACTAGGCACACTAATTAAATCAACTAGGTAATTTTCTCAGTGAAAGGATATCCTGAATATCATATATTCGGAGTACATTTTTCCCGAGGTACTAGAGAACTGGAGGAAGGACATGCCATTCAAAGATATTACAGATATGCGTGGCGTAGACAGTGAGGTAAGATGGTATTCAAAGCCAGAATATTAGTATTCCCATCAAAATCACACTTACCAGTTTTATCTACTAGACTGTCATCATCTCTTAACAAATATGAGAATAAAATGCTGTAAAACTGGTATTGTAAAAGCCGGGATAAGTAGAAATGCGTGGGCAAAACTCACTATATGCGATCTGGAAATACTTCACCAATACTCAGTGCAGCGCTGGTAGAGGACTAGACAGACAAATAATCAAATGCATTTGCAAGACAAACTTTTAGTGAATAATGATGAGAATGCAATGCTATCCAATGGAGACGTCAATGAGGCACACTTTTGCCGTTTGATTCAAGAATGGTACTCGGCAGAAGACGATCCTGGTATATCAGCAAAAGAAAGGTGTAATCATCGAATGGCCCTTCGTGAGTGGCTTCTTGAAGACATTCATTTCAACGCCTTTCCGCCACCAGGCTCTTTTGTTAAAGGTATACCTATAGTTTCGTTTGAAGGATTGATGATTAACATAGAAAGACGCTTACAATTATTTGCATTCATAAAGAAAGGGTCCTACAATGTGAGGTCTCTTAGAAGCTTTTGGTGAATTCCAAGACTCAGACCCAAGAAGAAAAGGAGTAATCAAGCCAGAAGATATTTCCTTGTCTCTTAATACAGCCTGTGAGCTGCTTCACTACAGACTAGACACTGACAGGTGAAGATTAATTTATTTTTAAATATTAGTGTTACTTACCATTCATGTAATACATTCCATAACAAAATTAAGATCATGAGAAATGTTTGATATCTGTCATCATTGTTGATAGGGGTTTTTTACATGCACACTCACACGAGTAAAACAAAGGTGTATCCTCAACATGGCTTACCTGATGAAATGAATGAGGTGGATCCGGAAATGACAGAATTCGCGAATGAACTTCCTTCACGGGTATCTTTTATACTATCTAAATAAGTTCCAGAATTTTATTTTTTTTTATTTACCGGCATATTTATTTTATTTCATTTTGTTTCAAATTTTAAACATGTAATTAAGTTTATATTGCAAGTATCAGCATTTTTTAAAAAAACTTTTCAGAGACCATGTCTTTGACAAGCCTGAGAGGAGAACCAATAAACAGCAACGTGAGAGAAAAGGGTATATATTAGTAATCCAACTATGTCAGCAAGAGGAGCAAAGCCTGCCAGGGAACATCACAGAATCAACGAATCTAAAATATTAGCCCATGTTGCAAAAAGGATTGAATATCGAGGACATAAAGATGACTGTAATAAAAACAAGGTCCAATAACACTGTATGGTTAAATGACAGACTATGATAGAAACAAAAGAAGAAAATGAGATCAAAATCTACCTGAATCACGAATGAACTTTTGGACACAGTGAAATATTTTATTATTCACATCAACAGACAAGGAATCATTTCCAAATACTAGTAGTAAGAGATGGGAGTGTACTATCGTCAAGTGATTGTATTGTAAAATATTGTTTAAGAGGCAATTTCTTGGCTAGCTGCTCATATTTTTTACATGCAAAAAAGAAATGGTATACATCTTCAATTTGTCCACATGAATAATTAAATATCTTGTAATTGTTTATTTTAATCAAGGTATTCCTATCCCCAGGGAGGAAGGATACTTCTTTACTTTATTAATAAATTCAAAAAGTCCGGCTTAAAATGAAACTTGAAAATTAACTCTTTTCATGTTACAATTTTCTTACCTCTCAATGTGCTTCAATGTTCTTTGAACTTCTCAGAAAGGTCTTATACAAAATCGAAATTTTTAAACCCCATAAAGTATTTTAAAATTATATATCTATAACATGTATAATGAAATTAAAGTTCTTTTAATCTTACCATAGATAGTCAAGTTTATTACAGGATGTGAAATTAGAAGTGATTTATAGTGTTTTGCTGTGATAAGTAATTTTTATACACTAAATGCACTGTAAAAAGATCTAAGTATAAATAGAAGAACTAAAATACCGTATATGTATAAAAAATGTGCAATTTCTGAAAAGCCTGGATATACCTATAATTTGTTTGTTGAAGTTTGAAGAATTGGTGTGGGTAAAAACACACTACTTTGAGAAATCAGATGTTTGTGAGCATTTTCAATTAGTAAATAACTGATTTTCAATATATGAGTACCGGAGTACCATATAGGCGTCGGAACCGGGGGGGGGGGGGGGGGGGGGGGGTTAGTGTACCCCCCACTTTTTTTTGCAAAGATAGAAATAAGACAGACATTAAAAATTTGGACATATGTGTACCCCCCCCCCCCTTCTACACTTTAAACAGGTACCTTACAGTTTAAGTCAAAAAAGGGTAGGCCTAATCTTGAGGTAATGTTTGTAGAGAAAAAATGGTACTGAAAGAAGTTAGATCCTAACCCCTGCCCACCCAACCCCCAACGAAATAGAATTCTCGTGTAGGGACAGTAGGCACATTTTTCTTTTTTCTGTGCTTGTCAAGTTTTTTGTAGGTTTGAATTTTTTTTCTCTACACTTACCCCCCCCCCTTTTTTTTTTAAATTTGATTCTGACGCCAATAAGTACTTATACAACACATGTTAATTTTAAAAAATGCTCTTATTTATCAACTTTTCATAAAAAACTTTCATTTATTTTATTCTCTTTAAATTTTTTTATGATAACACTTTTCTCGAACCTTTTCAACCATGTTCAACACAATCGGGATTGGAGTTCATTGTTATTGTGTACACTTCCTGTTCGGCGTGTCACAAGATTTTCCAAGTCACAGTGACAGTATTACAGCTCCATGTGGAGTGCAAAGTATCTCATTACATTTTGAGAGAGAAAATACATGTATTAAGAAGGTGTTTGTCAGAAACATTTAATACAGTAAGTGATCAAAGGTAAACAGATAGTTTTGAGTTGTCCGGTTCACACGTGCAACATATCATGATTGTAGGGTTTAGGCCTAATAGATTTACTTCCCGGATAATTTTGTAAAACTGTCATACCCATATACATATATATGGACACTTTATTGTTTTATTTTCAAGATGATGAGACTATTTTCAATATACTGTATTAGCGAGATTTATTTCGTGCATGCCTTGGTTTATTCTCTTTAGGCTTTGGAGAATCGGAATGGCAGACATCTCGACCCAACGACACCTCGGCCCATTTACATCTCGGCCCAATGACACCTCGGCCCAAGATTGAAGACAGGTCGGAAAACCTATAAGACATCTCAGCCCAAACGGAATTTCATTGAGAAATATATCATATTCAGAATTTGCAAGTTTTAAAATATGATGTTATTGAAAAAATCAAACAGAAAAAAACAACCTTACCGGTAATTAAGTTTCTTTATTATAGAAGCATCCCTGAGCAAATTAATTTAATCAAGAAATGAGAAAACATACATGTAATTAAGGTGCTTTATAAGTTAATTGCTAAACAAACAAAATATCGCGATGCTTTCCTTGGAGTTTGGTCAAGTTCGTGAACTACTGGTGACGATAGGGTGTTAAGTATGAGCAGCTTGGCTCCATTAAATATTATCTACATTTCTCATGAAAACATTCATGAAAGTTGATTAATGCTTTCAACTAGTTTGTACATTAAGAAAATTCATATAGACTTATTCTTTTAATTCTTGAGCTCTCCGCATTTACATTGTGCATTTCCACAGGAGATATGCGAGAAATGATGCGAGAAATGATATAACCACCCCCACCCCCCCTTTCCCAATTTGATTTTTACATAGATACAATTTTTAGAAAAAAAATGTAATCATGAGAAAGAAAAATTAACTATTTAATAATGTTAATATTATTTGTTCTATCACAAAAGTTTGCTTGGGCTGAGGTGTCTTTTATATGGGCCAACGTGTCAATAATTTTGGGTCGACATGTAAGGGCCGAGGTGTCAACCCTCACAGGCTGAGGTGTCGTTGGGCCGAGATGTCTGTCTACAGGCTTTGGCTATTCTCTTTTGAGAAGTGGACAAGCTTTCACCTACATCCAAATTCAATTTTAGCGAACTCCACACCCTCACTAATAATAATATCAAAATTTAATCCTCGCTAAACATTCTGCCTATACCTGTATACTGTACTTCTCATGTATCGAAAAATCAAACCAGGCTATTCTCTTTAGAGAAATGGACAGGCTTTGACCTTTTTGGATGTAGGCGAAAGCCTGGTCACTTCTCTAAAGAGAATAAGGCTGAATAAGGAGAATAATCTCCACCTTTTTGCCAGAAGACTTCGAAACAACATTATTGGTTATTCAATACACTCATTGACATTTGCCCGAATATTTATACCATGTATATATTTCAACAATGACTGAAAGCTATTTGAATTTCAGATGCTAATTACTTTGTTCCGAGAGTGCCAAGCCTTATTGAAAGTCCAAGCTTAGCTGGGAAATGTAATATTGTAAATTTTTCATATTTTCTTCTCCAGAACCACCTGGCCAATTTCAGCTAAACTTGCTGCGTTAAGTATCTTCAAATAAAGGGTTTTCAGATTTTTTCAAATAATTGGCCACATCCTTTTACAAGGAGAGATAATTCAAGAATTTTATGTCCTCAAGAAGAGCAAAGCATTGATTACCTGGTAGTCTTTTTTTATATGGAAACATATCCTCAGGTAATGTAGATTCAAGTGTGTTCAAATCATGACATCCTCTCCCTCGCTTTGGGGTATTGTAAGACCACCAAAGATAATGTTTTATCTGGGATTACGTAGGAAAAAAATCTTTAGAAATCTTCTCTAGAACACCAATGCTGTGATTTCATATTTATATGAAAGCATTCTCAGGTAATGTAGATTGAGATTTATCAAATTCTTGACTCCTGGGAGGTATGATGGGACCTCAATTTGTCATCTTATTTTTCCAGAGGAATTGATAGGGGAAAACGGAAGGGCCTCTTAGTGACTCAGGTGAGTGTTGTGGCCCACCGGCCTCTTGTTTAATTTTTAAAAAAAAATTTATTGTTCTAGGAGGAAGAATAGAAGTACACAGAGGAACATGGTCATCACAGACTGTCTATGGATTTTGTTGATGATTACTGTCCATTTGGTCGATGTCTCACTCTCGGACTGTAAATTTCCTGTACACAAAACAGAGCGAGATCTGCAGAAACGCATACAACCACTCGTGGGAAAAACGTAAGTAGGTTAAGGAACAACACTTGGGGATCACTTTAACTGGTTTCTGTTTGTTTGTTTGTCTGCCCATCCCTCTGTCACTCCTTATACTTTGCACAAATATTTTTTTTGGCACTGTGGCTTTACCATAAATATAGATCTTTTGACCCTTGAACTTGACTTTTGACCTTTTTTTTTTCAAAAAAGTTTATTGTGTCAATATACTGTATAATTTTTATATCAATGATACATTACATGTGCCTGGGTAGGGTTTGTGGTCTGTTTGCCATTAAAGATTTAAAAATCTGAAGAATTTCAGTATTGTAGTCCATTTGACCTTGACTTATGTCCTACTTTCCAAAAATACTCTGGACAATTGACTTATACAGAAGCTCATTTAGGACCTATCAAAAATATTTTTGAATTGGATATAACTAATTGTCAAATTTGTAAAAAAGAATTTAATTCATTGTAACAATTAATTTCTTTGAATTCATTCTAATGGTTTTAATCTGTTATGACAAATTTGTTGAATTCGTTATAACAAATTCTAAAATTTGTTATAACAGATTAAAATCGATATAACAATATCACAACTTAAGAATAATTTCAATTCAGTTTGATCAAGAAGGGACTTTTTTCCGGGGTGCTAGTATATTATTAATTAGGTTATATGCATGTTCTTTCTATTTTAACAGCTTCAGAGGCAAAGATGCATCACAAAAATATGACTATTTCTTTGGTGTGTGTACAGAAGCTTTAAATACAGTATCTGATGGTGGAACATATGGACTCTTACAACAAGACTTGGAAACAAACAAGTTTTATAAATTAGGAAAATATACAAATACAACAATCATATCAGGAGGTATGTTTTTGTTTTAGGTCACCTGAGTCACTCAGGTGACCTATTGCTATCCGTTTTCATCCGTCGTGTGTTAACATTTGAACATTTTCAGCTTTTTCTCTGAAACCACTGAACCAATTTCAACCAAATTTTGTGTACAGCATCTATGGGTGAAGGGGAACAAAAATTATGAATTTCATGGTCCCTGCCCCCCTGGGGCCTGAGGGGTGGGGCCAAAACCACTAAAATTTATGAAATCTTTAAAAATCTTCTTTTTCATTCCTGGACATCAAGCAGGCAAACTGTTAGCATGAATGTAATGAACATTGAGTCCTATACCAAAATTATGAAATTCATGGCCCCAGGGTGAGGGGTTCTGGTGTTAGGACGGGGCTCTATAGATTATATAGTGAAAATGCATTATTTCTTTGAAAATCTTCTTCTCTGCTCCTGGGTATTAAATAAACTAACTAAGTACATAGTTATGATGAGCAAGAGTGCCTCTTCCAAAATTATGAATTTTATGGCCCCAGGGTCAGGGGTTCTGGTGTTATGGTGAGGCTCTATTGATTATATAGTGAAAATGCATTAATTAATTCTTTGAAAATCTTCTCCTCTGCTCCTTGCAGGGATTTTCCACTGCCCCGTGTAGGGCCGAATTTAGGCCCCATTCCCAATTGCAAAAACCTACCTTTTTTCCCAAAATTTTACCTTATTTTTCCCCTAAAATTATTTGCGTTTAAAATTCGGTCGGGATCGGATTCCTTACAATTATACGGGATCAGAATTCTTAAAAAAAGTGGAAATCAAATGGCTATGCAGAAACGTGACATGTGAGAAATGAGCCACAATTTGAAATATTACAAAAAGACCTTGACAAAATGTAAAGGCAATAGGAGACTAACGGAGTTTTTTTAAAATAAGTTACAAAGTAAAGAATATCGTCAGGTGTTTCAAGCAATATGACAGTCTAGTATATCCATGAAAATAAAAATGGCGTCATTCCAAATTTCCTTGAAAACGAAATGAAATCTTACTTAGTTAAATTTGCTGTGCACAACCCGAGAAATAGGCTTACTAATTCTTCATTAGATCATTTAATGAGAATTTGCAGTTCTTCCACAAATGATGATGAATTAATATGATTAAATCAGGAAATCTTGAACCGAGCAATCACACTTTTTATAACACAAAAGAATAGAATGGTTAGATTTTAAGATTTTGTTTTGACAATAAACTTCATTCTGACTCACTAACTGTTAAATATTTATTGAAATATAGTCTTACATTAGCATATCAGAATTTCCCAATTTTTGATAAAACGTCGTAAAATTCCCAATTGCAAGGGCCCAGGCCCCATTCCCAAACTGGTGTGGAAAATCCCTGCCTTGGTATTAAATAAACTAACTAAGTACATAGTGATGATGAGCAAGAGTGCCTCTTCCAAAATTATGAATTTTTTGGCCCCAGGGTCAGGGGTTCTGGTGTTAGGGAGGGGCTCTATTGATTATATGGTGAAAATGCATTAATTCTTTGAAAATCTTCTCCTCTGCTCCTGGGTATTAAATTAACTAAATACATAGTTATGATGAGCAAGAGTGTCTCTTCCAAAATTGTGAATTTTATGGCCTCAGGATCAGGGGTTCTGGTGTTAGGGCGTGGCTCTATTGAATATACATGTATTGTGAAAATGTATTAATACTTTCAAAATCCTCTTCTCTGCTCCTGGGTAATAAATATACTAATTTAGTATAAAGTTATAATGCCTCAACCAAATTTGTGAATTTCATGGCCCCTGTGTCAGAGGTTTTGCCATTTGGTGTAAAGAGGGGTGTGGGGTGGGGTTGGTTGAGGGTTAATTATTTCATGCTCCCTGGGTCAGAGGTATCGGAGGGGTGGGGGTGAGAGGATTACATAGTCTGAAAATAAATTAATGCTTTGAAATCTGCACTTTGGTATTAATCAACCATTTATGATGAAATAAAATTTATGATAAATTTCCAAAATTTTTAAATATGTGGCTCCAGGGTCACTGGTTCCTTTGAAGTGTGGTGCACGACTGGTTTTGAAGTGGAAGTGCATTTTCTCTTTGTTACTCTGATTTACCTCTGGGTATTAAGAAAATAGAGTAAGCATGCAAAGTTTATAATTATGATAAGCAATGGTGCCTCTTTCAAAATTGTGAATTTCATGGCCTCTGGTTTAAAACCAAATTCAATTGTTGGAAAGTGGTTACATGATACTCACGTGACCTATAAGGCCTGTGGGCCTCTTGTTTTTTTTAAAACCTTTTTATATCACATAGGCCAAAGACTTAAGTGAGCTTTTCTTACCAAAATTTGTTATTGTTGATGTTGTTGTTGTTAACTTTTCACAGTTTCATTTTCTTCAGAACTATAAACTTCCTACAAAGCATTCTTCAGTAAATGGGTTTTCAAGTCTGTTTAAATGAAAGGGCACCTCCTCTTTGAAAAGGGAGATAAAAAGTGAAAATTAGGTGAGGTCATTGTAAGATATTGCTCTTATTAAGGTATGTGGAACCTTCCTAACATAGTGTAGAATGAAGTCTTGGCTGCCAGAAATGAGATGAGACCACAAGGGATCAACTTTAACATGGGAATACATGGGGGGAAATATTGTAGAATTTTGTCTTGAAGGACAGCAGGACCATGATTTGTGATATTTATGTATAAACATTCTAAGGAAATGCAGATGAAAAATTTATTCAAAGCATTGCTCCATTGGATAGGATGGGGCTAACATAGAGAATCAAATTTTTACTAGTACAAGACTGCAGATATAAAAATGTTAATTCTTCTACTCAAGATCAGGAGGGCTATGTGTTTTAATATTTAAAGATAAAATCATCCTCAAGTTGAGTAAATACAGATTTGTTTAAATCGTTGAAAATTGGATTAAAAAAAATAATATTGCAGATGCCATATCTACTAGTATTTCATATAATCATAACATTCACTTAAGTTTTAAAACAAGTCTACAATGGATGCATGGAAATTAAATAGAAATGCTTTGCTTACTTTAGGCGATTGGATGATCTTGGAGTACTTGGATGGGGAGGTGTATCATTCACACTGTGGTTCTGAGCCTCGTAGGGGGCGTGTCATGTTAAACTGTGATCGTAGTGTTAGTGTAGGGGTAAGACAACTCTTTCCAACTAACAATTTATGCTAAAAGCAATATGAGATGTATCTTTGATGTCAGAAATTTTTGTTGCAAAATTGTAATTAACAAAAACATTTATAGACTTCTATTGTTCATTGATTTCTTATATAATACTATACATGTACAATGTATATAAGAATGTTCAGAAGTCTTTCTTCTTAAACAATTTTATGCATTGTTTTAGTCTAGTTGATCATAAAAGTTTAATTTACACATACAAATGTAAATTTATCATAATTTTAAAATTTAGCAAATTTTAAAGCAATATGAGCTGCATTCCCAATCCCTGTAACTTTCTTAGTGTTAAAGCATGTGTTAAACATAAAGAAAAAGATGTGATGTCTTTAAGTAAAACAATATTTTATTGTTCCCTGCAATTGTCATGTACAACTTTATTCACTGCATTTCTTTGTTTTTTAGGAAGAGGATCTGATTGTTTTAGAGGAAGAGAACAACAAAACTCAGGATTGTTTCTATTTATTTGAGATGAAAACCAGCGTGGTGTGCCCCGAAATAATCACCGTCAGCCTCAGTGTGGGCACCATTCTTATCATTGTGTAAGTACTGTCAGCATTAGTGTGGGCACCATTGTTGTCATTGTGTAAGTACTGTCAGTCTTAGTGTGGGTACCATTGTTATCATTGTGTAAGTACTGTCAGCATTAGTGTGGATACCATTGTAATCATTGTGTAAGTACTGTCAGCATTAGTGTGGGTACCATTGTTATCATTGTGTAAGTACTGTCAGCATTAGTGTAGGCACCATTGTTATCATTGTGTAAGTACTGTCAGCCTTAGTGTGGGTACCATTGTTATCATTGTGTAAGTACTGTCAGCATTAGTGTGGGTACCATTGTTATCATTGTGTAAGTACTGTCAGCATTAGTGTGGGTACCATTGTTGTCATTGTGTAAGTACTGTCAGCCTTAGAGTGGGCACCATTCTTATCACTGTGTAAGTACTGTCAGCATTAGTGTGGGTACCATTGTTATCATTGTGTAAGTACTGTCAGTATTAGTGTGGGTACCATTGTTATCATTGTGTAAGTACTGTCAGCATTAGTGTGGGTACCATTGTTATCATTGTGTAAGTACTGTCAGCATTAGTGTGGGTACCATTGTTATCATTTTGTAAGTACTGTATGTCTTAGTGTGGGCACCATTCTTATCATTGTGTAAGTACTGTCAGCATTAGTGTGGGTACCATTGTTATCATTGTGTAAGTACTGTCAGCATTAGTGTGGGCACTATTCTTAACATTGTGTAAGTACTGTCAGCATTAGTGTGGGTACCATTGTTATCATTGTGTAAGTACTGTCAGCATTAGTGTGGGTACTATTGTTATCATTGTGTAAGTACTGTCAGCATTAGTGTGGGTACCATTGTTATCATTGTGTAAGTACTGTCAGCATTAGTGTGGGCACCATTGTTATCATTGTGTAAGTACTGTCAGCCTTAGTGTGGGCACTATTCTTAACATTGTGTAAGTACTGTCAGCATTAGTGTGGGCACTATTCTTAACATTGTGTAAGTCCTGTCAGCATTAGTGTGGGTACCATTGTTATCATTGTGTAAGTACTGTCAGCATTAGTGTGGGTACCATTGTTATCATTGTGTAAGTACTGTCAGCATTAGTGTGGGTACCATTGTTATCATTGTGTAAGTACTGTCAGCATTAGTGTGGGTACCATTGTTATCATTGTGTAAGTACTGTCAGCATTAGTGTGGGTACCATTGTTATCATTGTGTAAGTACTGTCAGTATTAGTGTGGGTACCATTGTTATCATTTTGTAAGTACTGTCAGCATTAGTGTGGGTACCATTGTTATCATTGTGTAAGTACTGTCAGTATTAGTGTGGGCACCATTCTTATCACTGTGTAAGTACTGTCAGTATTAGTGTGGGCACTATTCTTAACATTGTGTAAGTACTGTCAGCATTAGTGTAGGCACCATTGTTATCATTGTGTAAGTACTGTCAGTGTGGGCTTAGTGTGGGCACCATTGTTATCATTGTGTAAGTACTGTCAGCATTAGTGTAGGCACCATTGTTATCATTGTGTAAGTACTGTCAGCCTTAGTGTGGGCACTATTCTTAACATTGTGTAAGTACTGTCAGCATTAGTGTAGGCACCATTGTTATCATTGTGTAAGTACTGTCAGCCTTAGTGTGGGCACCATTCTTATCATTGTGTAAGTACTGTCAGCATTAGTGTGGGTACCATTGTTATCATTGTGTAAGTACTGTCAGCATTAGTGTGGGTACCATTGTTATCATTGTGTAAGTACTGTCAGCATTAGTGTGGGTACCATTGTTATCATTGTGTAAGTACTGTCAGCATTAGTGTGGGTACCATTGTTATCATTGTGTAAGTACTGTCAGTATTAGTGTGGGTACCATTGTTATCATTGTGTAAGTACTGTCAGCATTAGTGTGGGTACCATTGTTATCATTGTGTAAGTACTGTCAGCATTAGTGTGGGTACCATTGTTATCATTGTGTAAGTACTGTCAGCATTAGTGTGGGCACCATTGTTATCATTGTGTAAGTACTGTCAGCATTAGTGTGGGTACCATTGTTATCATTGTGTAAGTACTGTCAGTCTTAGTGTGGGTACCATTGTTATCATTGTGTAAGTACTGTCAGTATTAGTGTGGGTACCATTGTTATCATTGTGTAAGTACTGTCAGTATTAGTGTGGGTACCATTCTTATCATTATGTAAGTACTGTCAGTATTAGTGTGGATACCATTGTTATCATTATGTAAGTACTGTCAGTATTAGTGTGGATACCATTGTTATCATTGTGTAAGTACTGTCAGCATTAGTGTGGGTACCATTGTTATCATTGTGTAAGTACTGTCAGCATTAGTGTGGGTACCATTGTTATCATTGTGTAAGTACTGTCAGCATTAGTGTGGGTACCATTGTTATCATTGTGTAAGTACTGTCAGCATTAGTGTGGGCACCATTGTTATCATTGTGTAAGTACTGTCAGTCTTAGTGTGGGTACCATTGTTATCATTGTGTAAGTACTGTCAGTATTAGTGTGGGTACCATTCTTATCATTGTGTAAGTACTGTCAGTATTAGTGTGGGCACCATTGTTATCATTGTGTAAGTACTGTCAGTATTAGTGTGGGTACCATTGTTATCATTGTGTAAGTACTGTCAGCATTAGTGTGGGTACCATTGTTATCATTGTGTAAGTACTGTCAGTATTAGTGTGGATACCTTTGTTATCATTGTGTAAGTACTGTCAGTATTAGTGTGGATACCATTGTTATCATTGTGTAAGTACTGTCAGTATTAGTGTGGGCACCATTCTTGTCATTATGTAAGTACTGTCAGTCTTAGTGTGGGCACCATTCTTGTCATTATGTAAGTACTGTCAGTCTTAGTGTGGGCACCATTGTTATCATTATGTAAGTACTGTCAGTATTAGTGTGGGCACCATTCTTATCATTGTGTAAGTACTGTCAGTCTTAGTGTGGGTACCATTCTTATTTGTGTAAGTACTGTCAGTATTAGTGTGGATACCATTGTAATCATTGTGTAAGTACTGTCAGTATTAGTGTGGGTACCATTGTTATCATTGTGTAAGTACTGTCAGCATTAGTGTGGGTACCATTGTTATCATTGTGTAAGTACTGTCAGCATTAGTGTGGGTACCATTGTTATCATTGTGTAAGTACTGTCAGTCTTAGTGTGGATACCATTGTTATCATTGTGTAAGTACTGTCAGTATTAGTGTGGGTACCATTGTTATCATTGTGTAAGTACTGTCAGTATTAGTGTGGGTACCATTGTTATCATTGTGTAAGTACTGTCAGTATTAGTGTGGGCACCATTGTTATCATTGTGTAAGTACTGTCAGCATTAGTGTGGGTACCATTGTTATCATTGTGTGAGTACTGTCATACCTTTTGTGGGCAGCATTCTTATATTGTTAGTATGTACTGTTGTACTGTCAGCCTTAGTATTACAGTTGTTTCACCATTCTTGTCATTATTTAAATAAAAGGGAGATTTTGAAAAACAGCCAAGAGAGACAAAGGGGTTGCATTACCAATAATGTAATGAATAAAATACATGAAAAAAGGGAGGGGGGTTCATACCCTAAATAGCAGTGACTAAATGCAGGAAATACATATCCATTTCATGTAAATCAAAGGACCCATTCCCAATTGAAAGTTGATTTTTTCTCTTCTTAGAATTAAGGGAAAAAATTTCTTAATGACAATCAGAAAAACTGTAGTAAGACGTAATCATGTCATAAATACTTCACATTCATATTTGCATCAGTATTGAAAATTCCCAGTGTATAGTGTTCATGAGATATAATTTTAGCCAATAGTACATCCTCCATTGCGTTCATGCAGTTTAAAGCTATAAAATCTTGAGGAAGGGATTTTTTTAATATGAAGTAAAGCAGTTATTTATTGAGAGTGGATCTCTTTTTGTTGACAGGTTTCTCTGTGTTGTGTCATTGTATCTCGTTTTGGGATGTGCATACATGAGGTTTGTTCTTCATGCCAAAGGAAAAGAACAGTGCCCTAATTATGAATTCTGGCAGGACTTTGGAAATCTTCAAGCTGTAAGTGCTCAAGTTTTCAGCTCTGCATTTAAAATACAAGAAAGAAAGAATCCTTCTTCTCACTCTCTGTTTGTCTGTCTGTCTATATATTTTTAGGTCACCTGAGTAAACTCAGGTGACCTATTGCTATCTGTTTTCGTCCGTCGTCGTGCGTTAACATTTGAACATTTTTAGCTTCTTCTCTGAAACCACTAAACCAATTTCAACCAAATATGGCATATAGCATCTATGGGTGAAGGGGAACAAAAATTGTGAATTTCATGGTCCCTGCCCCCCTGGGGCTTGGGGGGTGGGGCAAAAACCACTAAAATTAGTGCAATCTTTAAAAATCTTCTTCTTTACTCCGGGACATCAAACAGTCAAACTGTTGGCATGATTGTAATCAGCATTGAGTCCTCTACCAAAATTGTGAAATTCATGGCCCTGGGGTCAGGGGTTCTAGTAATAGGGCGGGGCTAAACAGGTTGTATAGTGAAAATGCATTCTTCTGCATTAAATAAACTAACCAAGTGCACAGGTAAGTTGAAAATGACCATCTTTTCCAAAATTGTGAATTGCATGGCCCCAGGGTCAGGGGTTCTAGTGCCAGGGCGGGGCTATATAGATTATATAGTGAAAATGCATAAATTTTTTGAAATTCTTCTTTTCTCTTTGTGGGCATTAAATAAACTAACCAAGTGCATAGTTATGCTGAATAAGACTGCCTCTTCTCAAATTGTGAATTTAATAGCCCCAGGGTCAGTGGTTCTAGTGGTAGGGTGGGGCTATATAGATTATATAGTGAAAATGCAAAAATTCTTTGAAATTCTTCTTCTCTGTTCATGGGCATTAAATAAACTAACCAAGTGCATAGTTGTGTTGAATAAGGCTGCCTCTTCCAAAATTGTGAATTTCATGACCCCAGGGTCAGGGGTTCTAGTGTTAGGGTCGGGTGATATAGATTATATAGTAAAAAATGAATTATTTCTTTGAAAATCTTCTTCTTTGCTCCTGAGTATTAAATAAAGTAACCAAGTACATAGTTATGTTGAATAAGGCTACCTCTTCCAAAATTGTGAATTTATGGGTTGGGAGTTCTGGCGTAAGGGCAGGGCTTTATTGATTATACAGTAAAACTCGGTTATAGCAAAGTCCTGGGGACCTGTAAATTTTATTCGCTATATCCGTAATTCGTTATATCCGTATAACGAATTCGTATAACCATATATAGCGAATTCGCATTATGCATGTTCTCTTTCAAGTATTACTACCAAATATGTTAGTGAAGCAAACATTACAAAACATATCTTCGATAACTAAGTTTTTCTTATGAATTGAATTTTATATACAAATACTTAAAGGAAATAAAGTAAGTTAAATTTATCATTTTTTTATAATCTTTGAAAGTTTGTTATAAAAGATGTAAATTTCATTATATTAAACCTCAACGGGACTCAAAATCAGTTCGCTATATCCGTAAATTCGTTATATCAGAGTTCATTATAACCGTAAAATTTTACAAGGATTTGTAAAGAATTTTGCCGGGGACCCAGTAAAACTTCGCTTTATCTGTAAATTCACTATATCCGAGTTCGTACTAAACAAGTTTTACTGTATAATGAAAGTGCATAAATTCTTTAAAACTCTTCTTTTCTGCACCTGAGTATTTTTAAATCAATGAACTATGTACATACATGTAGGTATGAGGAGGAAGGATTTTGAATTTCAGGGTCCCTGGGTTAGGGCTTCTTGTGTTAGGGCGGGGCTCTAATGTTTATACAGTGAAAATGCTTGAATTCTTTGAAAAATCTTTTCCTTTGTTGTTGGGTATAATGCCAATGATCTTAGTATATATTTCTGACAAAAAACCTGCTTCTTCCAAAAATGGTTAATTTCCTGGCCCCTGGGACAGAAGAGGTTCTTGGGGGGGGGGGTGGTAACATAGTCTGAAATAATTTAATACTTTGAAATCTGCACTTTGGTATTAATCAACAGCATGATGAAATAAAATTAAAAAAAAATTCGAAAATTTTGAAAGATGTGGCCCCAGGGTCAGTGGTTCTTGTGGAATGGGGAGCTCGACTGTGGACCCGCCCTAACACAAGAAGCCCTGACCCAGGGGCCCTGAAATTCACTAAAAGTGGAAATGCATTTTCTCTTTGTTACTCTGATCTACTTCTGGGTATTAAGTAACCAAAATAAGCATGCTGAGTGTATAATTATGATAAGCAATGGTGCCTCTTTCAAAATTGTGAATTTCATGGACTCTAGTTTAAAACATAAATCAAATTCAATTGTTGGAAAGTTGTCACATGATACTCAGGTGACCTATAAGGCCCATGGGCCTCTTGTTTTCATAATGATATGCTTAAAACTACATGTATTATTGAAGTTAGAACTCTTCCTGTAGTTTTGTTCTCTCTAAACCTTCAAAACTTTTAGTCTTTCTTGAATAAAACTTGATAAAAGTTTTGAAAACATTTATAAAATCATTTATTATATTTTCAACAGTGAAATACTGTAATTTATTACATTTTTACCCGTGAAATACTGTAATTTATTCATTGAATAAAAATGATATCCTGTCACGGTGTGAAAGGATATCAAAATGATATCCTGTCACAGTGTGACAAATATCAGAAATGCGGGAAAACTCTTGATTTCCCTTCCCATAACGAAGATTGCTGTAAAAAAAATCTTCCTTAATTTGACATAATATAAGATAGAAGGAAATAAATAAACCATTCTGACAGCGAATAAAACTGTCAAAATTACCAAAAATATGTTGCCAAATTCATGTTTACATTGTTTTCACCTCACTTAGCTATGACGTCTCAACTGCTCAACTATGACGAAAACTCAGTTGATGATGTGGGTTCTTTTAATTTGTGAAAGTTATGATTATAGATGGATAAACAACCCTACAAAACATGTAAACATAATAAATATTTCATAACATTAACATAGATATACATTTATCACAAATTATTTCATAAGCATAAAATCTATATTACACTGATATTTCTATTAATTTACTCATTATCACTTCATGAATTTTATCAAAGGGAAATAACTCTTATTTCTCTATATTTCAGCATATGCATAAAAACTCAAGTAAATTCACATAATTTACCAAAAATATTTACAGTTCTCAAAAGTATGTAATAATATAAATAAATACCAAGTTGTGGACCTAGGCTGTCCTCTAAGAATAATAACTGGGTGTCACGTCCAAACCATATCTGACCTATATCATACAACATATGGTTGTATTGACTAAATCTTACAATATATACAATATTTACATATTCCTTAAGGTCAGATCTCATCATAAAGCATATTTCATATATCAGTGTAACTTTAAAAACAGATCTTTAGATTTATATTCATTTAAACCATTTACTATATGATTTTACACATTTTCATTAACTCATCAAATACTATATTTCATTCATACTCATTCATTCAACGAAGCAAAGTGTTAGTAAAAGAAAATAAAGAACTTACTGTAATCAGGTCTTATGTCCAGTCAACACTATGTATATTCAAACTATATGTAAATCAGACAATTATAATAAGTTAGCGCTCTGGCTTATGGCTAGATTCAAAGTGAATTTAAAAATAACAAAGGAAAACTCACTAAGGAATTTGACCTCAATGACCTACCAATAAAAACTCCCCATAACAAGAATAGCCAATCGACTATGCTTGACCTAGACTGGTTCTCCTGAAAATACCTGAATGAATTAAAGAGTTCTAACTAAGAAAAGATAACTCTAAATCTAAAATAAGTACTACCATGCAGTGTGTGAAGTAAGTTTAATAAATTTGATTATCAAATGGAGTTTAAGTTTAAATTCATATTTATTTATTTATTTATGGCAGTAAGTTTGTTTATTAAGTTATTTCATATTTAATTTATTTACAGTTTAAAATAACAAATAACCCATTATTACAAACTCCCTCCTGTTGAAAAAATGACGTCCCCGTCATTTCGTTCTGAAATTTAAAAACGTGATTAAAATAATGATTGCATTTTACGTCTTCATGATATCAGCAATCAAATTGATAAAAACATTTTCGTACTTTTTGTCTGACATTGCTTACCAACAACTGTACAACTGCCTGTTCTGTAATGTAAAGGTCAAGGTCAATGGAGAAGATAGGTATTATTTATCTACTACTCTTCCTTCCACTCTACTTTCACTTTCACCAACTTCTGATTTTATAGCATTGTAAAAAAAAAATCTATGAAAAAGACATGATAGAGTATTAAATAAACACACACAGGCCTGGAATAATTGAAAACAAAATAATAAACAATGTGATTGTAAATGTGAGTGCTCAAATACCAACTACAAACAGCTGTTCATAGTAAAAATGAAAAATCAGCTGTTCGGATAACCACGTGGTTTATATGCCAACAATTGATAATAAATAGGTCAAATATTTATTCAATTGCAATGTTTGTCTCTGCTTTCTTACCACACGTAGTCTGGTAGCGAAGTCTTATATTGTATGTCCATGGAACCATCCACTTTAGTCCAATGAATGATATAACACAATCACAACACTGTTACAGGCCTAATGTTTATAAAGGTAACTTCCGGCAACTTCCGGTATGGGCTGTGACGTCATCTTTCGGCGGGATATTCAAACATCCATCGTTGGGCGCCAAATTTTGTAACCGGGTTTCCCAAATAATTAGACGAAAACTCAGTTGATGATGTGGGTTCTTTTAATTTGTGAAAGTTTTTTTTTTTTTTTTTTTTTTTTTATATATATAAATTTTATTTCCCAGACCTATGCTATAACATAAGAATTCCCTACTCAAATATTTATGGCAGTTGCCAGGGATGGGGCCCTGACTAAACTCCATCTAAATACAATTACAAAAATTAATTCTATATCACCTCGCAGGATGATTATTAATATTGTAAGACAGACAGCGTACATAAGTAATAATAGTTATATTGGTTTTTTTTTAAACATATAATGTTTATAAAAGAAAGGTTTTTTAT